TAGAGAAGGAAAGTTAGGAGCTTATTGAGGGTCCATACAAAGAATAACCAATAACTAGCATCTTCTTCTGAAGGGCTCAGGATGACATCCTGGGAACAGAGTGGACTTTACAGGCTGATGGGGTTGGGCTGAAAAAGATTTTCTGTCTAGCCTATAGCAGATGCTCAAGAGTTCTCTAGAGGCTTTGAGATAGTTGCCATGTGTTACAGGTTGGGGTTTACAGGAAGCAGATTCTTAGAGACAGAGTGTAGCATGCAGGAAGTTTATTAGGAAGTACCCTTGAGATCCAGAGCCATGGAAGAACAGGGAAAGAAGCAGATTAAGTAAGGCTGCCAATAATACCAGATAAGCCCATACGGAGCTCGAAAGCTTAAGTGGCCCAAGAGAGTTGCCCCTAGTCCCTAAAAGGACTAGGACTTTCTACCCTTGCCTTGATCAGTCATTGGATGTAAACCACTCCTGGAAGGGCATGATCTTGGGAAAAGTGGATCCCTATAACTTACAAGGCTCCAATCTGAGTTTTGTCTGCTGACAAAACTCCTACAGTTAGGAGGATCTGGCTGGGCCATGTCTGTGCTCATCACAGGTCAGTCCTTGCATCCCTATGATCTATTCTTTCATAGACATTCAGAGAGCAGCTACTCCAGGATTCCAGTGAAAATCCTTTTCTGGAGAATACCTAAGAAGAGGAAGTCTACAGGGACCAAATTTAGTCCTGGCCACTGCAGCTGGTTTTTAGGCTGCAGCTAATAATCTACCTATCCCTATTTTTCCATCCATTCTGTGTTCCTTTTACCTTCAAATGCTGGTCTTAGTGGTTTATCAGGTGGTATCACCTAGATCCTTATCCCTTATGGGTAGGGACTCGTGGTTACCATGGCGTTTCTCAGACTAGGATGGTTACACTTGTCTATTTACCAGCACAACTGAGCAAGGAAATATCAAGAGATGCTCAAGTAAATCCAGATCTAAACACATTCTACCCTGCTCCCATTGAGTAATAGTGGTCCTACCTCCTCCTGATGATTGGGTTGATTACCCAGGCCAAGTTGCTTGCTGAGCCCTGTACATAAGAGGACTTTAGGCAGCTTTATAGTCAAATAAACCTATTAATGTGTCCACCAGTTGGATACGTCTCCTTTGGGGAACATAACATTTTATCCCTGCAAAGACCAGACTTACAGAAATGAGACAACCAAGTTCTCAGACTGTGTCATTGTGAGTGAAAATAAAGTGAAGCCACTCCTGCTTCTAGTCTTTGGCTTCCACACCATGTACTCTCTACTTGGGACGTAGCACCATATATCAATGCAAACTAATTTTTGTGACACCATAGAGCAGTGGGGAAAATAAATTTTCTTTTTATTTGAGATATTTTTTTAAATTTTGGATTTTAGAAATTAAAAAATGTACGGACAGTAAATTCTACTCTTTGTGAATTAGACAGGGGTATAGAGTTGTATACATACCACCACAGCCATAAAACAGTTTCATCACCCCCAAAATATTTCCCGTATCCCCTGGTAACCACTGACATGTTTTTTATCCCTATAGTTTTGCCTTCATAATGTAAATGATAATGTATATGCCAGAATATCATATAAATAGAACCATACAGTATGTTGTCTTCTTTTGTGGTTGGCTTCTTTCTCTTAGCAAAATGGATTTGAGATTAATCCATGTTGCTGCATCTATCAATAATTCATTACCTTTTATTGATGAGTAGTTTTATATTGTAGGTATGTACCAGTCTTTTTTATTATCTCCTGAAAGACAATTGGGTTGTTTCCAGTTTTTGGAGATTATGAATAAAGCTTGTATAAACATTCACATGCATGGTTTTGCATGAACATAAGTTTTCATTTCTCTTGGAAAAAAACTACCTTTTTAATAAATGGTGTTGGATCAGTTGGATCCACGAGAAAAAAAAAACACTAAATTTTCTTTTACCATACACAAAAATTAATTCCTAGTACAGTGTAGATTTGTAGTGAAATATTTCTTAAGCATGGTATAAAAATCATTAACCATAAAAGAATCAATAATAAAGGAAAATAAACTATATTAAAATGAAGGTATTTATTAAAGATGCAATTAGAATGAAAGAAAATAAGTCTCAGATAAAAGAAGAAATACGACTGAGAAAGGGCTCATTCCCAGTCTTTACATGTTCTTTGTATAATCAAGTAGAAAGTGCACACAGCTGGAGGTGGGTGAGATGGAAAAGACAGCTCAACCATCAACCTAGAAAAGATGATACCCAATGGAGAATAAACTTTCACAAATGTGCTTAACCATTTTAGTTACCAGGGCAATACAAATTAACCCCACAATTAAATACTACAATACCACTACACATACAATAGAATGGTTAAAAGACATAATACAAAATGTGGTGAGGATGTGAAACAACTTTGCACAACCACTATCACTACTCATTTGAAATTTACAAAATAAAGTACACGTGTATAACCAGATGCGCATAAGAATGTACAAACAGCTCCCAGTTGGAAATTTCCCCAAAATACATCAACCACAGAATGAAATGACATAACTGTGGTATATCCATCCAGTGGAATACTATCCAGCATGAAAATGAAGGAATAGTAGAAACAACTATGACAAATACAGTATTGAGCAAAAATAGACCTAAAGGCAAAACCTTGATTAGAAGTCAGGATAGAAATACCCGGGGCATGGGTGCGGGCAGGAAGAGGGCTCTACATATATTATTTCTTGACCTTGGTGAGAGTTACAAGGTTGTTTTCCTCATGAAAATTTATTGAGCTGAATATTTATGTTCATGCACTTTTCTATATGGATGTCATACATTACTTTTTAAAACTTCAAAAAATAGCAGTGATACTAAAGGGTTTCCAATAATTCTGAGTTGAACTAAGTTAACATAACTCTAGTCTAAATATTGTGCTTTAATTTTTTTACCCCATCCTGCCCCCACCCCTCCACCCCCGAGAAACACCAAAAAAACCAATGGCTATTAAGCTATCCAGCAGGCGGGTATAGGTTCAAGAAGGAAAAATTAAATTTATGAGAGTGACTTGGCACCTAATATTCTCTCCCTTATGGCTTATCTGACTTTTCTTTCATCATCCTAGATCAGCTCCTCAACAAAACAGATTAGCTGGATATCCCCACATAGGTTCTTGGTTTTGCTTCTTGCAGTCTTCAGAGTGCGTTCATGGGTAGATGTGCCAGGGCATGTGTGAATGTAACTATTCCCTGCCTCAACCCAAGGTTTGTTGAGAAGAATATCCTAAAATTGCCGTCTTCTTGCTGTCCCTTCCCTCCCCTTGCTAGCCCACTCATTGAGGTAGAGGTAGTTATCTGACTGGTAAGTCTGGAAGAAGACTGAATGAGGTATGCTTAACCCAGGCCTTTACCCTCTTCTCCTCTCTGCATTTCCCAACCAAGAGAGAAGCTGGCTCTTGCTTTTTTTCAGCTAGAATATAAGCTCAGTGCTAGAGGTGCTGTCCTTGCAATTGTGGCTGCCCTGCCCTATGCAGCACAACCGTGAGGAAGTGAGGTAAGTCTGTATTCTTGAGGGGTTAGGGAGCAAGCCCATTTGGCTATTACACTGAACTACGTTTTTCAACTCAGTCTTTCTCAGTAACAATGGCAATCGTAACGGCCGTCATCTGTCTTGCTGGGTTTGGTTTCATTTTGTTTTCCAATTTCTCACTTTGTTCAGAGCCAGAATAAAAGAAGATAGAGAAGAGAGGTGCTACTTTTTAAGCATTCTCAAGACCCACATAATATGCATAAACTCTAATATGGAATATGTTATAAAATTTTATATAAATAGTCATTCTCTTAAATGTTGTTAATTATATATTCTAAATTTGATATTAGAAATATATTCACTTCTTACCTTCCCCATGTCAAAAACTTGTTCCCCATGAGTTTCTACTTCTCTGTACTTTCCTTAAAGTCTGAGACCTTTCATATTATTTAGTCTGAGACTTCAGGAAAGAAGAGAAAAAGAAACAGAGAAGGGAAAGAAGAGAAGAAAATATTAATAATGGTTTCCATTTATTCAGTGCTCCATATGTGTCAGGCACTAAGTGATTTATATGTATTTTCTGATTTAATTCTCACAACAAACCCATTTTTGCAGATAAGAAAACTGAAGCTAGGAAAAAATAAGCAAATTGTGTAAGACCACAAAGCTTGATAAAAGTCACGTTTCTTTCAACTTCCACGTCATTTTCTGACTATGTTTTATTCAGCACTTGCCTTTGTTTGCCATATGATACTATAATTATTTTATATATGTTTCCTGTCTCATGAAATCAATTATTAGCCTCTTTAAAGCATAGATTATTTCCCATTTCAATTTATATCCTTGGTTTGTAACACAATGCCCTGGACCCAGCAGGTGCTCAGTAAATGTTGGTGATGGCCAAGAGCTCATAACAAATGAGACCATAAGACAAACAATATTAAAATGTGACTGGATGTTAAATATGGAATTTGAAGCTGTGGTGCAAGTTCAGTGGATAAAACAGGGAATCTGGTCTCTGTTCTGCACAAGCGGTAAAATGACATGCTATCTATAAATAAAATATGTACTGAAATTTTTAAGAACTTTGAAACCAGGGACCTGGTTCTACCACTTATTAGTTATGAGACCTTGAAAAAGTCCTCCACCTTTCAGTTTCTTTCCTTTTCTCAAAGAGTTACATCTTCCTGAAAGGGTTACAAAGAGGTAATAACAGCTTGTGCAGATTGAAAACTGTACTAGTCTGATACTATCAATTTACATTTGTCTTTTGGTAACACTCTATGCTATAGATGATAGAATGATGTATGACACTGTACAATAGTAATATACATAATATCATGTCATATGCTTCACAGATATAATATTAGATCATGTTATACTGCCATTTTATAATATCTATTAATTTTTTGGTAATAGCCTAGGATGAGCTCTCAATACACATTAAGCCTTACTTTCTAGACAGAAAAAATGTGGTTACCGTCACTGATATGAAGCTGCTGTCTTTCCTGTCTTCTTCTTTATTTCCCCCTCCTGCCTGTCACTTCTGTCCCCAGGCATACATCCTGTCAGAACCATGAAATATTAATTAGCTCCTTCAGGGAAAGTTTTTGCTAGGGCTTTTCTTCCACCTCATTTTCCAAGCTCCTGTGAATCCCTCTTTCTTCTACCTTATCCTGTTCTTGCTGCAGACCTGGATTAAGAATACATGAGTTCATACTGGCAAATCGATAGATCAATAGAATCCATATTATGTCATCTTCAGGTCTCTCCAGCAGCAGAGCACTGGCTGTGCATTCAGCACATGCTTAAAAATGCCTAGTGGTTGGAATTTAACTTTATCATAAGACAAACTCACCAGTGTTGTGTTTTTCATGCCCTTTCAAGAAGCTCTTTATGTCCAGTATAATTGAGTCTTCCTGAAGACAAACTCCTAAAAGATAATAATCATTAATATTTTTTGAGAAACACAAATATCATTTTGTTAAAAATTTATTTAAAAAAAATGCATGTTTTTGAGTTTTAAAAATTCAAAGGAGAGAGGTAAACAGGAAATAAAAACTGAAAAGCCCCCATGATCCCATCTTTATCACTGCTAGAAATCATTATTAATTGATTATTGTCTATCTTTCCTGAAAATAGCTATACAAACACATATATGCCAGTCTTACACACCCTCATACTCCCTGTACACACACTTATTCACATACTAGAATTTGTACATATACTTATTCTTTTTTATTTTTTTAAAGATTTTACTTATTTATTTTGCAGAGAGAGAGAGCACACAAGCAGGGGGAGCTTCAGGCAGAGGGAGAAGCAGGCTCCCCACTCTGAGCAAGGAGTCTGATGCAGCATTCGATCCCAGGACCCCCAGATAATGACTTGAGCCAAAGGCAGATGCTTAACCAACTGAGCCACCCAGATGTCCCATACTTATTCTTTTTTAAAATACATGTAGTATGTACTACTCATACTGTTCTACAATTTACTTAAATATCTAAAATACAATAATCATAATAGTTGTATACTGGACACAGAATCTACAATATACAACCAAATGTGTTCACAGTATTTCACTGAATAGACATTCCATAACATTGTACAATTCTTCTATTTATGAACACATCAATTTTTTCCCTTTTTGGGGGAGTAGTTTACAAACAGTGCTTCACTGAATATGGCTGTGACAATTATTGCAAACTTGAGTCAAGATTAACACATCCACCAGTTTGTTGTCTATATTTAAAATTCTGTTTTTTGATTGCCAAAGGGGAGGTGGGTGGGGAAAATGGGTGACATAAAGGGGATTAAGGGTATACTTATCTTTATGAGCACTGATAAATGTATGGAATTACTGGATCATTTTATTGTGTACCTGAAACTAATATAACACTGTATGTTAATTATACTTGAATAAAAAATAAAAAACAAAAAACATTAACACATTTATAGGTGGCATAAAGAAAAGGAGCATAGTTTAGTTAAAGTACAAAAACTACTGTATTTTGTTTTTTGGGTTTTTTGTTTTGTCTTGTTTTTAAAGATTTTATTTATTTATTTGACACAGAAAGAGCACAAGCAGGGGGAGTGGCAGGCAGAGGGAGAAGCAGGCCCCCTGCTGAGCAGGGAGCCCAATGCGGGGCTCGATCCCAGGACCCCGGGATCATGACCTGAGCGGAAGGCAGACGCTTAATGACTGAGCCACCCAGGAGCCCCAAATTATTGTATTTTGTATTTAAAGCCCCAAAAGTTAGACTACTTTATATTCCCACAGTGTATAAGAGTGCCAATCTTATAGTTGAAAAAAAAATGGCAGTCTATTGCACTGCTGTCTTACTTTGTATGTCTTTTATTATGAATGAAGTTGATCATTTTTCACTGTTTTTATATTATGTTAATGGCATATAAATGTAACTGTACTTTGCATTCCCATTTTTTCCATCCATAAAACATGCCCTCCAAGATGGTGACAGTCTTTTGCAAAAGGGTAAGCTTAACACATTGGCGTCTGAGTAGTACTTTTCTAACATTTTGTTTCAGGATCCTTTTTACACTCAAAAAATATTGAGATCCCAAAGTGTTTGTGTTTATGTGGGTTATATCTAATGATAGTTATTTATCACACTAAAAATTAATGCTAAAAATTTGTTAATAATTATTTAATGTAATACTAACCCCGTTACAAGTTAACATAAAGGATTTTAAGGAAAAGTAACTATATTTAAAAGAAAAGAAAACAGTTAAATTCCAGTATCTGCTTCTGAATTTAATTTATTGTGATATCAAATATCCTGTACCCTCTGGAAAACTTTGTGAAATTCTTATAAGAAAATGAAGATGAAAGGACAAATGATGACTTAGAAGTATTATTAAAGAAATCTTTCACCTTGTGTACCTAAAGAGGTCTTGTGGATTCCCAAGGGTACTTGGACCACACTTGAAGAACGACTTTGCTAGAGCAAGACTGTCTGTCTATAGAAATAAGAATATCCTGTTTGCTTTTTATGTCTTTTGAGTTTGGGTGCTCAGGCTTCAGAAATCAATTAATCACCAGCAATGTTGTTAACAGAAAGCTGATGTAATGAGGAAGGAAACACCACCAACATATCAAGAATTGATTAATGAAAGTTTTTGTTTTTAGTTTTGGCTTCATAGTTGTGGACAAACAAATCCTCTGCTACAGGTAATTTATTTTGGAAAGTTTTGAGCCTTAGAAAGATTCAAAATTGAAGTTAACAGTATATATGTTTCATGATTTGATCCTTGTATCTTCAATTATGCCTAGTGATTAAATTTCATATTGACTGTGCTTGAGCTCAATTTATTATATTATTAATTCTTTTCCAATGACAAGAATGATGAAAGTTAATTTCTGCATGAGAATATGAGCTGACAAGCTTTCTCTCAACCTTCTCCCGGGATTTCAGTTCTGTTTGTTTTCCTATTGAAATTCAGAGATCTGTGCTATTATTTTTCTTTTATTGCCTTAATTTATTGTATACACATATAAAATTTATATCCACTCATAAATGTGATTCAGTCATGTGTATTTCTCTCTCATTTGCCTCCTCCAACTTTCTATCCCCTTAATCTATTAATGTCATCCCTCTCCCCAACAACCCCAAGTAACCCATATATTCTTTATATTTATTTCCATACTCTCATAATAATGCACCCCCTAAACACAGACATAAATGCAAACATACATTTAAGGGTACAAATTTTGGGGCACCTGGGTGGCTCAGTTGGTTGAGTGACTCTTGATTTTGGCTCAGGTCATGATCTCAGGGTTGTGGGATGGAGCCCCATGTCAGGCTCAGTGCTGAGCCCTCCCCCTCTCTAAAAAAATAAAATAAATAAAATAATAAAATAAAGGTACAAATATTTTTCAAAAAAATGTGATCATAGTATGTACATTTTTCTGGATCTTGCTTTTTCTCACTAAATAATTACCCATAGTGAATACCAACAAGGGAATTAGTATATATATATATATTTAAAGATTTTAAGTTATCTCTACACCCAACATGGGGCTCAAACTCACCCCTGAGATCAAGAGTCACATGCTCTACTGACTGAACTGGCCAGATGTCCTGGAATTAGTATAGTCTTAATTCATTATTCTTAAGAGTTGAATAGTATTTTATTTATTTATTTATTATTGTGATTTCTTTTAATTTTTTAAATTCCAGTATAACATACAGTGTTCTATTAGTTTCAGGTATACAATGCACTTTAAATTTATTCAACCATTCATTCTTCTATTTTAATGGCCTTTCCATTGTTGCTAGTTAATTTTTTATTTATTATTGTTATTTTATATCCTCACCATCCTGAACAATGCTGGAATACACATCCTTGATGATATATACTTACACACTAGCAGTTTCATTTTTATAGGACAAAAAGAATGCCAAAGTAGAACTGCTAGGTCAATTGGGATGTAAGTTTTTAAAACATTTTTTTTAAAAGATTTTATTTATTTATTTGACAGAGACAGCGAGAGAGGGAACACAAGCTGGGGGGAGTGGGAGACAGAGAAGCAGGCTTCCCTGCTGAGCAACGAGCCCCATGTGGGCTCAATCCCAGGACCCTGGGATCATGACCTGAGCCAAAGGCAGATGCTTAACAACTGAGCCCCCCAGGCACCGCAAAACATTTTTAATTAAAGTTGCAGATTGCTTTTCAGAAGGGATACAGAATTCACAATTCCATCAGCAAGGCATGAGGATATCCTTATAAGTGTTAATCACACCTGTTAAATCTTAAAAGTATGACTAGTATAAAATAACAACACATTATATTACTCATGAGTTTGAACATCTTTTCATACTTTGTTGAAATTTTGAATATGTTCTTCTGAAAATAATCTACTCCAATTCTTGCATACTGTTCACATGGGACTCTTCCTGCTTACAGTTTTGGCTGAGGCTGCCTCTCTGAGAACAGTCGGTGCTACCCTCACATTCTAAATCAAAATGCCAGTTTTTCTATGCAGGACTTAAAAAGGAGGTATTAAAAACTGGTTCAGTAAACATTAATCCATCATCTGCATCCACTATCTATAAGAAGGCTAAGAATGCAGTAAAAATTTAAAGAGACAATAATGGAGGACATTGCAAGTATTCCACTGGACAGAAACAAGTGTTTTCCCCTCACTTAAAGCCAAATGAGGAAGCTGCCATTATGGCACGGGGAACTAGACATATCTATCTGCTGAAATCTGGGGGATACAGGAGTTAGGATATGACTCACACCTAAAAACTCTGAAGCAGAGAAACTTGCCCCTACTGTCAGAGCGAAGAGACAACAATAAGATTTGCTGCCCTTGACAGGACATGGACATATGTCCATATGTAGATATGGACATAGGTACATCTCCTAGAAGCTAAATGAATAGGGTCTCTGGTCAGAAAGACAAGCTTGAGGTATTTTAAAAGGAGGAGTCAAGGGACTTGAACTGAGAATGGGCCATGAGGAGCCATGATCTGAGTTGGGGAAGCCTGACTCCTTAAGATGGAAATCCCCAGTGATAGGTCTAGAAATAACCTACACAGTGCCCTTCAAGAGAAAAAGCTACTCTTTGAACATCTGCCTTTCCCAGCGAAGCCAACACAAGATACAATTGTACAACTTGTCTTGCCCCTTAGTTCTACTCTTACCCTGTACTCCAATCCTGGAGGATTTTAAAGCAGCTTAGTGAATAGAGGAAGAGGAAATGATAAAAAGGGATTTCACAGGCAAGGTAGGGAAACAGAAAAACAAAAGATGGCCACACCCACATACTGGTTTCCTTATAAGTATTTTGTTTATCTTTTCTGAATTCTTTGGGTGATTACTGAGATACTTCAGTTTCATTTTTCTTCCCTAATAATTAAGGCCATAAATGTTTCTGAGTACTGCTTTCACTATTTCTCAT